GTGCTTGCAGTCCGTGGACTTGTACTCAGTGGGTCATTTCGCATCTGGCTTCTTTCACTCCAGGTGAAGTTCTCACGCTTCATCCTGTTTTAGGCTTGAGGAGTTGGATCCTCTTCCTTGCTGAGTGGCCTTGAGCTCTATGAATTTACCTTAGTTTGTTTATCCATTCTCCTGCAGGTGGACACCTGGTCTGTTTCCAGTTTTGAGGTTACTGAGAATGCTGCTACTGTGGACGATCTAGTACATGCCGTTTAGTAAACAAATACACCCATTTCTGTTGGAGGGCTGTGGAATTGCTGGGTCATGGGGTAGGGATATATTGAGCTTTAATTCTTATTGCCAAACAGTCTTCCATAGTGGTGGAACTATTTTATACTCCCGCCAGTAGCAGTTCCTTTGCATTCTTTTAGCAGTTTTTACTTATTAATTTTTTGAAAGGCCTGTTTACCTGGCTGTGTCGGGTCTTGGTTGCATCACGCGTGGGCTTTCATTTTGGTGCACAGGCTCCGTTGCCCTTGGCACGTGGGGTCTTAGTTCCTCGGCCAGGGATTGAACTCGCATTCCCCACATAGGAAGGTGATCCTTAAGCACTGGACCACCAGGAAAGTCCCCCTTTGAAACATTCTTTTAAAAAAAATTTTTTTGTTTACTTATTCATTTATTTTTGGCTGTGTTGAGTCTTCATTGCTGTACAGGCTTTTCTCTGGTTGCTCTGAGCAGGGGCTAATCGTCATTGAGGTGCACGGGCTTCTTGTTACAGTGGCTCCTCTTGTTGCGGAGCATCGGCTCTAGGGCGCTCAGTAGTTGCGGGCGCACGGGCTTAGGTGCTCCGCGGCATGTGGGGTCTTTCAGTACCAGGAATTGAACCCATGTCTCCTGCGTTGGCAGGTGGATTCTTTATCTCTGAGCCACCAGGGAACCCCCTAGCCCCCAAGCCCTCTTACATTCTTGACAACACTTGGTGTTGCAGTTTTTGAATTTCTAGCCATCCCGCAGATGGTTTCGATGCGCACTTCCCCGTGACTGAGGACACTGCACGCGCTTCTCCTTTGCGTGTGTGGGTTCCCTCCTGTGAGGCGCCCTTGCTGCTTTCACCTTGCCCCCCAGGTGGCTCGCCTCTAACCCACAGCTCCGGCTCCTACCCAGACCCTCAGCCAAATGAAGCCCAGACACCCCAGGCAGCAGTGGGTGGGGCTGGGGCCCCACCATAGGGCACGCAGGCCGCGGCCCACAGGCCCCCGCGTGCTGGGTGTCCTCCGCCCGCAGCTCCCCAGGGAGCAGGCCATCTTCTTGGCTGTGGTGCTTGTGTTTCGTCACCATGGGACTGCGTCAGACACCTCAGCAGAGGCGCCACCCTCCGTGGGAGGACGGGCAGGATCCAGGCAGGATGCAGGGGCCCTTCCAGGTCCTCCCCCTGCCCTGGCTGCTGCTGGCTGCTTAGTTGCTGAAGTGAGAATGTAACAAGTGGCTCCGGCGTGCTAAGCAGCAGCTAGCTGGGAGACCCAAGGTAAAAGCCTCCCCTGTGTCAGCGTCTGCTGGGCACGGGCATGGCCCTCTGGGGGCATGGGGGGTGGGAGCGATCCGGGGAGACTGGAGGCATGCCCTCGGGCTCAAGGCCACTCGGCTGGCACTGGCTCTTGGATTCTGCAACCTCGGCCACACCTGGCCGCCTTCATGTCTGTCTCTGATCGAGGCAGCCACGTGTTTGCGTGTTCGCTGGGGGCCAGGCAGTGGGCCGAGCCTCTGTGCACAGGGGTGCTGCTCACAGCGTCTCTAAGAGGTGAAATTGCTGGGCCGGGGAGGGGCAAGAAGGGGAGGGCTGCGAGTGGACATGGGGTCCTTGTCTTTACCTGTACATCTGCTCTTCCTTTGGCCCCTGGGTTCTCCATCCCAGTCCAGTTTGGGAACCCAGCCCTATTCTCAATGGAGTTCACACCTGGCAAAAGTGTGGTGTTGGCCCCTGTGTTGGAGAGGAATTCTGAACTCCCCAGCACACCTGCCTCCAGGCCCTGAGTGTTCTCCCTCTCCCAGCCCCTCACCCTGGGCCAGCCTCTGGGCACTTCTCTATATTCCCGGAGCTCCTTCCCAGGCCTCCTCAGGGCTTTGCACTTGCTGTTCCCCTGCCTGAAATCTGTTCCTTCCACGTGGCTACGTGCCCGCACCGCCCCCCCGGCCCCGGTTAATTCAGGTGTTGGCTCACGTGTCCCCCATACCATGTGGCTAACGCAGCAGCTGTTCCGGTCCTCCTTGCCCTTGTTCGTTCTTCTTTGCCACCCTCAGACCTGTGTCCTGTATATTGTCTGGCTTCCGCACTGGAACGTGACCTTCTTGAAGGCAGGAGCTGTGTCTTAGTGATGCGTTGTTTCTGGCACGCAGGATAGAGTCTGAAGCTTAGAACGTACTCAGAGAAAGATCGGTGGCGTGAACAGACCCTGGAATTGTTTCTGTGGCTGTGTTTGGTCTTGGGCTGGAGATCTTTTGGGGGAGATGTTTTTTTTTTCCTTGAAGAGCAGACCTTTACTTTCTCCCAGTTCTCAGGGCTGAGAAGCCCACGCTCAGGGCGTTCACAGGGCCGGTTCCTGGTGGGTGCTGACTACCTGGTCGCTGATGGCTGCCATCTTGCTGTGTCCTCATGTGGCAGAGGAAAAGAGAGTGAACTCTGTGGTGTCTCTTATTTATTTATTTATTTTGAATCGGAGGATGGTTGCTTTACAATGCTGTGTTGGTCTCTGCCGTAGTCAGCGTGAGTCCACCACAGGTGTACACGTGTCCCCTCCCGAGACTTGGGTTTATCCATTGTGCCTTCAGTGGGCAGCCAGACGTGGGACTGGTGCGCTGAATTAGCGCCTGTAGGTGTGGGGAGAGTTGATCACAGGGCACACAGCACCCAGTGCAGCCTCTGAGGTCAGGAAGGCTTCCTGGAGGAGGTGTTGGTTCAGCTGAGACCTTAGAGAAGAGGGAGAACCCCAATACCCAAAAGGTATTGGGGATGGAGGCCTGAGTTACAGAAACCTGGCAGAGAGTGGGAGTTGGGGAGGGGGAACTGGGGAGGTGGGTGGTGGCTGGTGTGTGCTCATCCTTGTCGTGGTTATTAGCCTTTCTTGAGGGCTTTCTAGGTGCCTCTCGACTTATGTGGGGCCTCCTCTGGTGGAAAAGACTTTGTTTTTTGTCTGCTCTGTGCACTCTGGGGAGCCATGGAGCTGTGAGCAGAGAGGGACACGGTCAGATTCAGGTGGAGTATAGGGGTGGGGAGCAGGGGCTGGGCACCCTGGGAGAAAGCCTGGGTGGGAGGGAAGATGGGGCGGGGCGGGAGAGGTGATCCGGAAGCCAATGGATGGGTGGTGGGGACCATGGGGCTGAGCCAGGGTGGCGGGCAGCAGAGGTCAGGGCCTGAGGGCCCCGGAATCCCAAGCTGGGGAGCCTGGCTCTTTGCTGAGGCCCGTGGGAAGGCACAGGTCAGATTTGACGGTCTCTCGGGCTGCTGAATGGGAAACAGATTGGAGGATGGGAGGCCCAGAAGGAGGTGGGGCGAGTCCTCGTGGGAGGGGACGGCGCTGGACCTGAGCCACCTGGTCAGGAGGCCGGGCTGGAGACCCTGGTCACGTTAGGATCAAACCACAGACTAGGGGGCATTTCGGAGTGAGGGTCTGGTGGTCCTGGGTGTGTTCAGTCCATGGGTGAGCCCCTGGGGTGCCACTGTACCTGCCAGGGGAGGGAGCCCCTTCTGGGCCCCGTCTTTGCAGGCCCGAGTCCAGGACATGGTTTCTCACCCGCTGTTTACTTCCCTGTCACTGTCCATCTTGTCTTCCTCCGGCTTCCACCCGCTCACCTCCCTTCCCTCTGCCTGGGGCCTGGGCAGCCTGCCACTGTCACATGCCAGGCAGTAGTGTGTCCGGCCCACCAGCTCCCCTGGGGCACAAGAGAAGGCTGATGCCCACGGTGTCCCCAGGGCCAGCTGCCGCTTCTCTGGGGGCCACCGTAGCTCCTGACCTGCTGTCCGCAAATAACCCCAGGCCAGGAAAGGCGAAAGGTGCCTTGGGCTCCATGGCCCCCGGCCAGGCCTGTGGCTCCAGGTAAGGGCCCAGCTGGTGGCTGCCTCCCCCGCTTCTCCCCTCCGCCCCGGGAACCTGAGACGAAGCAGCGGCCTCGGCGTCTGTCAGTCTGTCGGCTGCCGGTCCATGAGGACAGAAGCAGAGGTCTCGGGGAAGGACCAGGGCCTTGGTCAAGCCCCCGAGACTGGCTCCCAGGCCCCAGATAAGTGCGTACGCAGTAGGTTCCTTTCTTGTTGAGGATCGGAGCCCCAAGACCTTACTTTCCTTTGTCAGCTGGTGGGGACCAGGAGGCTAAGAGAGTGACATGAGGTGGCCTGGTGCTGGGCAGGGGGGTGGTACTCGGTTTGCTAAAGGTGGCAGGTTGGTGGCGCCTGGTTTGGAAAGGAGAGAGTATGAGCGGGTGTGTGTGTTTGGGGGTGGCAGGCAGATCCTGGTGGCTTTGAGCACGCCCTCAGGTGCCCCAGGCTGTCTGATTCATCCCAGGTGACCTCAGCGCGGGGCCTGGAGTGATGCAGGGGGCGGAGCCTCCCACCCAGTCAGGAGTGGCGGTGGTGGGGCTGCCCTCCTGGGCAAGGGGTCCTGAGTACGGGGCGAGGGCACAGCCAGGGCCCTCTGCTCCTTCCAGTGGAGGGCTCTGAGGGCAAGGTCGTGTCCTTTCCTCCCCAAGACGGTTCCTAGGGACCTGACAGCATCTCACTGCCTCCCTCCACCAGCCTAGGCCCCGCGGGCTGGTCTCTCCCCACCCTCCCTGGCTCCACCCTCGCAGAGCCGCCAGAGGGGCTTCAGGCAGGGTGTCCCAAGGGAAGGGGTTGCTGCCAAATCCCCCTGCCGCTCTGACTGACGGGCTCCTCTCTTGTCTTGCAGACTGTGCTCTGTCCAGCGCACCTCCTGCATGTCCTGCTGTCCTGAGCTGTCCCGAGTGAGGTGACAGCGTGTTACGCTGCCACCATGAACGAGGTGTCTGTCATCAAAGAAGGCTGGCTCCATAAGCGCGGTAAGGGGCTACGCTTACTCACGGGATTGCACATCTCTCCCTTTTGCCCCAGCTCTCCTGGCAGCTGTGCCCTGAGAGGCACGGGTACAGGGTCTTTACCACCTGAGGAGCCAGCATTCTGAGCCCAGCCTGTCTGCCCACCCCCACCAGTGGCTTCTTTCTAGCCCATGTCGTGGACTCTTTGAAAGTAGTCTGGACGGAGGAGCTGTGGCTGCGCCTGGGCCTGAGTCTCCAGACCTTGCTGACCCCCTGCATGAGCCCCCAGGCCAGGCCTCAAACTCTGCCTCTGCATGAGTGTTCCTGTTCATGGTCCCATTTTATAGATGAAGAAACTGAGGCCTAGAGCAGGTAAGTCACTTAGCTAAAGTAACACAGTGAGGCAATATCCAGCATTTATTCATCCAGCAAATACTGACAGAGTGCATGGTGTGCCAGGCTGGCCATCCCAGGCTCTGGGGGCACTGTGGTGTCCTCATGGAGTGTGCGATCCATTGAGGGGCGGGGGGCAAACAATATACTGATAGACAGACATGATGTCAGGTGATGATAAATGCCATTGTGAAGAGTAGGAACTCTGAGGGGAACGCTGGAGAAAGAAGGGGTTCATGGAAGCGGCTCTGAGGAGGGACTAGTATGTGGAGGCCAGGAGAAGGTGAGGGAGCAGGCATAGCCAGGCAGGGGTGTCCCAGGAAATGGGGCAGCAAGGACAAAGCGGGGGGCGTGTGCCTGGAAACAGAGAGGGCCAGGGTGGCCAGAGCAGAGCGAGCGAGTGCAAGCTGGAGGAGGCAGGCAGAGCCATGACACAGCACCAGACCGATGGCGCCTGATGCCGTGGAAGGGGCTGGAACTCGCCTGGCATTCGGAAGCCCAGGATGTGCGCGAGCTCGGGACCAGGTCTGGTTGTACTGGAGGGTGGCTAAGAAATGAAGTCACTTACAAGAGACTCGACCCTGGGGCCCCAGGCCTCTGCCCCAGCACCACCGCACTGAACGGGCTCACTGCCGTACCAGGCATCTGGGAAGAAGCACATGCCGAGGGCCAGCTTGTCCAGGCACCCAGGGGTGAAGGAAGCTGGCTGTCCTAGCTTCCGTGGACCTTTCCCTGCAGAGTGGGGCGCCCGACCTGAGGGGGCCGCATCTGCACGCTCTCATTCACTTGGCAGACATGCATCAAGCAGCTCCCGTGTTTCAGGCACATTCTAGGCGCTGGGGATATAGCAGTGAACCAAACAGGCCCACAGTTCCCATCCTTGTGTTGATGCCATATGTTAACGGGAGAGACAGTGGCACCTGAGTACACGAGTGTGTCCAATGGTGGCTAGTGCCTTGGAGAGAAACCCAGCAGTGTTGAGGGGAGGGGTGAGGGAGCTGTCAGAGAGGGGCTGGTCAGGGAGGGCCTTACTAAGAAGGGGGTGTTTGAATAAAGATCTGAAGGAGGCAAGGGAGTGAGCCCCACAGTTAACGGGGGCATGGGTGAAGGGGGCCAAGTTGGTGGAGGGGAGTGGGCTGGGCATGCTTGAGGCGGGCTGGGAAGCTGGTGGGCTGGCCCTGCAGAAACTGGGAGAAGTACCTGTGCACCCTGCACTGTCCCAGCCCGCCCACCCAGAGCGGTGCTGAGAATCCCCCACCCCACCCCCGCACGAGCAAGAAAGGAGCCTTCCCCACCGCCCTTCCCAGGCAGGGTGGTATTCAAGGCCCCTTGGCCTACCTGCCCAGATTGGGCCCTGAGTTTGGGGCTGATGATGGAGCTTTCTGCAACCTTGGCAGGTGTCAAAGTTCTAACCCCGGCTCTGCCACTTCCTTCAGTGTGACTGTGTCATCTCTCTGAGCCCTGGTTTCCCCTCTGTAAAATGGGTCAATAGCCCAGGCCTCTGAGAGTGTCAGCTTCATGAGAGCAGTGCCCTGGAAAAGTGCTTGGCATGCAGTAGGCACTTAATAACTGTTGAATGGCTGCTTGGGATCATGTGTGTGGATGGTATGAGTGTAATAAGGTGTGCCAGGTCTCAGGCTCTTGAGTTTTCTGAGGCCTATGGCTCTTCAGACTGGGGTGGGAGCGCTCCGGAGGTGGCTGGAGAACTATGGCCGGGCAGTGGCTCCCGAGGCTGCTGGTGCCACTGAGTGAATCTCAGCCCCTCCTAGGCTTTCAGTGTCTCAGTTCATCTCCAGGGGCCCAGACATGGTGCTGAGATGACCTTCTGTCTTGGCTTTATACCGTACCCATACACGCTCATACACATCTCTCATGGGTCTCCCAGTACCTGTCGTTCCGAGCAGCAGCCAGCAGTGGTGGGCAGAGCAGGGTGGGCCCTGCCACTCTTCAGACACGTGCGCCATCCTGCCCTACTCCTGGTGGTTGAAATAACAGCAGCTCAACTCACTGTGTGCCCACTCTGTGCCGGGCCTGGGGCTGTGTTCGCAGGAGGCCTGGTTTTGTTGAGTTTCTGTTACTGCCCCGTGAGGTGGGCACCGTCTTGCAGACCGGAAGCTGCAGCTCAACAGGAAGACTGAGTTGCCTGGGGCTTTAGCAGGGAGGTGGCAGTGCCAAGGTTCAGGCTCCAAGTCCTGAGCCAGCTCCTGGCTCACATGCTACCTCTTGCTCAGCAAGGTCCACTCAAGGATCGGGTCCTTCATGCCATGTGCAGGTCCCCCTTCTGACCCAACCTCAGCACACTCTCTGCCAGGCCCCTCCGGGCCAGGTCACGCCTGCCAGCTTACAAGCAGACAGTGTCGATGACTCTGGACAGAGCAAACGCAGGTTCCAATCCCAGCTCTCCCAGTTAACAACCATGAGCCTCAGGCAAGCACTGGAACCTCTTTGTGCCTCAGTTTCCCTGTCTGTAAAATGGGATTGTTGTGAGGATGTTTTTCCTTCTGGTTTTTTTTGTAGCTTGTTACCGACATATAAAACCCCACAGGTAAGTGCCCAGATTGTAAACTCACTCCAAAACCTGTGTCCAGGTCAGGAAATAGAGTAAGTCAATCCCCAGAAGGGTGTCTGCCTCTTGCAAGCAGTAACCACTCTCCTAACCTCCAGTAGCATCTATGAATTTGTCTAGTTTTGTTTTTGTTTCTCAAATTGAGGTAAAATTTACACAGCACAGAATTGTGTTTTAAATGCACAACCAGTGGCCTTTACTGCTTTGACAGCGTTGTGTAACCACTAGCTCTGTCTAGTTCCAGAGCATTTTTCATCTGCCTTAAAGGGTGCCCTCAGCGCCTTAAGCAGTCAGTTTTCATTCTCCCTCTTCCCAGCCCCTGGCAGCCACCAGTTTGTTTTCTGTCTTAATGGATGTACTTATTTTGGACATTTCATATAAATGAATCATACAGCATGTGTCTGCTGAAGTCTGGTTTCTTTCACTGAGCAGGTTTTTAAGGTTCATCTATGCTGTAGCATTATCAGACAGTACTTCATTCCTTTTTATAGCCAAATAATGTTCCATTGTATCAATATATCACATTTTGTTTATCCATATGTCCATTGATGGACAGCTGAGTTATTCCTACCTTTTGGCTGTTGTGAATAGTGCTGCTATGAATATTTGTATACAAGTATCTGAGTACTTGTTTTCAATTTTGGGGAGTATACACCTAGGAGTGGAATTGCAGGGACATACATATCTATTGTTTAGTCACTCAGTCATGTCCGACTCTTGGCAACCCCATGGACTGTAGCCCACCAGTCTCCACTGTCCATGGGAATCACCAGGCAAGAATCCTGGAGTGTTGCCATTTCCTTCTTCAGGGGATCTTCCCAGCTCAGGGATTGAACCCGCGTCTCCTGCATTGGCAGGTGGGTTCTTCACCACTGAACTGCCAGGGAAGCCCCAATAGGTATGTATTAGATTATATTGCTTATAGTCTAGTGTATTCTATGTAGTTAAATAATATAGAAAAAATATATAAAATATCTGGACCACACATCCTGCACATGTGGTCCACAGTATATTCTGTATCAGACTCTGAGGGAATGCCACAGTTGCACAGGGCGGCACCATTTTACGTTCCCACCAGCAGTGCATAAGGGTTCAGTTTCTCCAGATCCTCACCCACACCTGCTATTTTCCTTTGAGTTTTTGTTGTTTGTTTTTAATAAAAGCCATCCTGGTGGGTGTTAAGTGGTGTTTCATCATGGTTTTGATTTACATATCCCTAATGACTGATGGTGTTAAGCATCTTTTTATATGTTTTTTGGTCATTGTTTGTCTTTGGAGAAATACCTTTATAGTCCTTTGTGTATAGTGTTTATAGACACTACATGCGTGCTCAATTGTGTCTGACTCCTTGTGACCCCTTGGGCTGTAGCCCACCAGGCTTCTCTGTCCATGGGATTCTCCAGGGAAGAATACTGGAGTGGGTTGCCATTTCCTCCTCCAAGGGATCTTCCCAATCCGGGATCAAAACGGTATCTCCTATATCTCCTACATTGTCAGGTGGATTCTTAACCACTGAGCCACCTGGGAAGTCCTTCACCCATTTTTTACATTGGTTTTTTTTTTTTTTAAGTTGCTGCCGAGGTGTAAAGTTCATTATGTATTCTGGATACTAGACTCTTATGAGACATATGATATGCAAATATTTTCATCCATTCTATTGGTTGGTTGTCTTTTTATTTTCGTGATAACATCTTTTGTACAAAATTTTTTGTTTCAATGAGTCCACTTTATTTTTTTTCCTTTGTTGTCATATCTAAGAATCTGTTGCCAAGTTCAAGGTCAGAGATTTACCTGTGTATTCTTCTAAGAGTTTTATAGTTTTAGCTCTTATTTTTAGGTAGATCCACTTTGAGTTAATCTTTAAAATGTGGTGTAGAGTTCCATCTCTGTTTTTTTGCACATGGATATCTAGTTGTCCCAGCACTATTTGTTGCCGAGACTGGTCTTCCCCAATGGAAGGGTCTTGGTACTATAGTTGAAAGTTAGTTGCCCATAGTTGTGTAGATTTATTTTTTGACTCTCAGTTCTACTCCTTTGGTCTGTATGGCTATCCTATACTACACTGATTTGATTATTGTAGCTTTGTAGTAAGTTTTGAAATCACGAAGTATGAGTCCTTTCCCTTTGTTCTTTTTCAACATTGCTTTGGCTATTTGGAACCCCTTGCCACATGAATTTGAATTCCATGTAAATTTGAGGGTTGATTCTTCCTCGACAGCAAAAAAAGGCTATTGGATTTTGATAGGGAATGTGTTAAATCTGTATGTAAATGGCTTTGGGTAGTATTGCAATCTTAATATCAAGTCTCATTCCATGACACAGGATCTTAACATTTATTTAGGTCTTTAGTTTCTTTCAGCAGTGTTTTTTTTCGTTTGTTTTTTAATGATTTCTATTTATTTATTTTTGGCTGTGCTAGGTCTACATTGCTGTGCAGGCTTTTTTCTTTTTTTTTATTATTATTTTTTTTTCTCAGGCTTTTTTCTAATTGCAACAAGCCGGGGCTACTCTAGTTGTGGTGTGCAGGGTTTTTATTGCAGTGGTTTCTCTTGTTGCGGAATGTGGGCTCTAGGGCACAGGGACTTCAGTAGTTGTGGAACATGGGCTCAATAGTTTTGGCTCCCAGGCTCTGGTGCACAGGCTCAATAGTTGTGGAGCACCGGCTTAGTTGCTCTGAGGCATCTGGGCCTTGCTGGACCAGGGATTGAACTTGGGTCTCCTGCATTGGCAGGCAGATTCTTTACCAGTGAGCCAGCAGGGAAGCCCCTGTTTTGTAGTTTTTAGTGTATAAATTGTTGCCTACTTGTGTTGTTGTAAATGGATTTGTTTTCTTTTTTGGATTATTTATTGCTAGTGTATAGAAACAGTTTGTTTTTGTGTGTTAATCTTGCTGAATTTGTTAGCTCTAGTAATTGTTTTGTGGATTTTTGTGATTTTTCTGTATATAGGATTGTGTTATCTGCAAATAAAGGTAGTTTTACTTACTCCTTTACAAATTGGATACTTTTTGCCTTTTTCTCTGGCTAAAACTTACATTACAGTGTTTCAGAGCAGTGGTGAAAGTGGAAATCTTTGTCTTGCTCCTGATCTTAGCTAAGGGAAGGCTTTCATTCTTTCATCCTTGAGTATGATGTTGACTTGTGGGTTTTTCATATATGCCCTTTATCTTGTGGAGGAGATTCCCCCTTCTCTTCCTAACTTACTGAGTATTTTTATCATGAAAGAGTGCTGGATTTTGTCAAATGCTTTTTCTGTGTCAATCTGGATGACCTTGTGTTTTTTTCTCCCCCCTTCATTCCATTGAGGTATACGACACGGATTGCTTTTCATATTTTTGAACTACCCTTGCAGTCCTGAGATAAAACCCACTTGGTCATGGTAAATGATCCTTTTATGGTGCGGTCAGATTTGTGGTTTTGCCAGTTTTTGAACTTTACATACATCAAATCATTTATTATTGACATTTGAAATAATTCAACAAGTTAAAGCCTATAAGAAACTTAGGATAGTGTCTGGCGGGCACATAGTACCCTACAGTACTATGTAATCATCATTGTTGATTACTGGATGTCCTTCTCATGGGAGGAAACAGATTTAGAGAAGCCTACCCTGGCTTCTGGTGGTGACTTACTGGAGCCCACCCTCCAGTAAGTTATGCTGCCCCAGTTATGATGTACACACTCTTCGCTTGCCCGGTGGGCTGATGATAAAGAGCATTTGTTGATTTATTGGTGTGCTGGTCCCTAGCTAGGCTGGGTGCTTTGTGTTTGCTTTGTATTTGCCACCTCTCTATTTTTTTTTTTTAAAGCAGCTTGAGACACAGTTTACAATACCATACACAGCCACTTGGGGCCTTGAGTGTATTTAGAGCTGTGCCTCCGTCACTACAGTCAATTTCAGAACTTTCTCACTACCCTAAAAAGGGACCCTCCAGTCCCCGCCCAGACTCACCCCGTCCTCAGCCCGAGGCAACCACTAATCAAGTTTTCATCTTTAGAGGTTTCCCTGTTCTGGACACTGTATAGATGAAATCATATAATTTGTGGTCCTTTGTGACAAGCTTTTTTCAGTTAGTGTTAAGTTATGGTTCATCTGCCTTGTAGCATGTAGGTTATGGTTCATCCACCTTGTAGCGTGTATTAATACTTCATGTATCAGTACTTTTTTTGGCCGCATTACATATTGGATTTCAGTTCCCTGACAAGGGGTCGAACCCTCACCCTCTGCATTGGAAGGGCAGAGCCCTGACCACTGGACTGGCAGGGAATTCCCAATACTTCATTTCTTTTAATGACCAAGTAATACTAATATCCCATCATATGGATATGCCACATTTCATTTATCCATTTGTTAGTGGATGCACTTTGGAGTTTCTGCTCTTTACTATTATGAATAATGTTGCTATGGGTATTTATGTATGTGTTTTTGTGCAGATATGTGTTTCCCCATTTCATTTTAGTCCTTGGCCGCCTCTCTGGGGAGTGTGTGTGTACGTACACGGGGTGCTTGGATATTCATGGTTAGAACAAATGGAGGGAGTCCAGGAGCACATGGAGGCACAGCAGCGGTAATACCCGGCCTGGCGCAGTGTTTTGACATTTGATCCCCCCACGCAGCTGTAGAGTGAATACCCACCCATGGGATTTGGCCCTCTAGGGCCACAAGGCATGTATGTTAGCAGCCTGGGCCTCCCTTGGGATTGGGCCATGCTCTGGCAAGGATGGCTTACTGCTGGCCACACTGTGAGGCAGCTGGTGCCCCGGGCGGTGCGGCGCCTTCCTGCCAGGCGTGACCTCTGGATCAGTGGGCCCAGCCCAGCGCCCAGCCTGCGTCAGCTGGGGCCGCCTGGAGCGTTTCTCCGGGAGAAGCACACTCCTCACCCTCTTGTCCGCCCTCCCCCCGGTGTGGGGCCCCTTGCCAGGCACTGCTCCAAGGGGCTGGCTGCCCTGACCTCCCTCCCGCCCTGCCTGTTCAGGTGAATATATCAAGACCTGGCGGCCCCGGTACTTCCTGCTGAAGAGCGACGGCTCCTTCATTGGCTACAAGGAGCGGCCTGAGGCCCCCGACCAGACCCTGCCCCCCTTAAACAACTTCTCTGTCGCAGGTGCGTCTTGGGGGCACATGGGGTGTGTTTGTTCCAGGCTGTAGGCCTGTCTGGGGTCTGTTTGCTCCCAGGTCTATTTTCCACCCTCTCCTGCTCCACCTCTGTGTTTCCTGTCTTGATCACCAGTGGAGAGCAGGAGGAAGAAAGGAGCTGGGGCACTTTGCAGCCTTCTGGCCCCTTTGTGGTACCTGAGGCGGAGCCTTCTAGCCGGAAACTGACCAGTGAAAGCCTGGCCCGTGCAGAACCCCTGCCTGGGCCTCTCAGAACCTGCCCTTCCCCCGCCATCACCTTCCTTCCCTGCTGACCCGGTGGGTCACCACATTCTTGTCACACCCCCTAAGAATGTTTCAGAGTCACTCATCTCTACTGCCATGACGTAGCCCAGACACGGACCTCTCCCCACCAGCTCCCTGCTCTAGCCTCGTCCCCAGCCTCGCCTCTCGAGCAGCCCACCTGCTCTTTCTGGAATCCAGCCCCACTCACCTCTCCATCCTGCTTAAAGCCCTGCCTTGGTGGCTTTCCCATGCGCTGGTGACCCCGACACGGCCGTCCCTGGCCCCAGCTGCCCTCCCCAACTCCCCACCTGGCCTGAGCTGCTTTTCTGCACATCTCTCCTTGGGTATCCTTGAGTGTCCTGCCGTGAGATCCCCTCCGTGAGTCACACCATCCTTTGAGTCCCCTCTCCCTCCCTGAACTTCTCCCCCCGATCTCCTCCAGGAAGGCCTTGTTGCCTCTCATCCTCAGGCCAGGATGGTGATCCAGATGCTTCTATGCACCCCACTGTGGCCCTGTGGTCTGCCTGCTTTCCCTCTCCTCCCCTACTCTGGATAGCCCCATGCCCTCCCTGGGCTTCCAGCCTCCCTTCTCTGTCACCTCTACACAACAACCAGAGGGTCTAAGTTCTTGTCTCTTCCTGCTCCCTCAGGACACAGTCCAGGTTCCTCTCCATGTCCCCGAGCCCTGCAGGCCAGCCCCCACTCACCTCTCCAGCCTGTCTCTCCCTTCTCTCCTCCTCACGTGGGATTTGCTCTTCCCTAAGTACACTGGGCCCTCTCTCACCTCTAGGCTTCTGTACCCAATGCCCTCTGCTGCTTTCAGGGCTCAGTACAGGGATGCCCTTCCACTGGGAAAGCCTTCCGGGCCCTTGGACGGGGTTGGCTGCCTCTTTGGATGCCCCACCATCCCCCATCACACCCCTGACCACTGACCCATCACTATTGGGTGGGCTGTCCCCCTTCCACACACACACACACACACACACACACACTGGATCTGTAGGGACAGGCTGTCTTGGTAAGTAGTGTCATGGGACTGGCACCCGGGGGTGACTTGGGGAATGCGGGCTGCCCCTCACACTCTCTGCTCATACCCCTCTTCTGTAGAATGCCAGCTGATGAAGACCGAGAGACCTCGACCGAATACCTTCGTCATTCGCTGTCTGCAGTGGACCACAGTCATCGAGAGGACCTTCCATGTCGACTCCCCGGACGAGAGGCAAGTCGGGGCCTCAACGTGGCCGCCCTTTGGGAGGAGCCAGGCTCAGTTTGAGGCGAGGGGTACAGAGGGAAAGATTCCCCTGAGCGCCTACCTAGGAGTTTCCCATCTCAGCTGTTGTGTGAGCTAGGAGGAGCAGGGGTTCTCCCCGTTCTGTGTCCTCAGATGGGAGGGTGTGCTGGAATCACGACAGTTTGTTAGCAGTGAGGCACTCTGGGCCTCTTCAGGGCCTCTGCTTATCTGGAGACCTGCAGAGGGTCAGGGAGCTGCCTTTTTAATGAGCATCTCCATTGATATGGAGGCAGGTGGTCCAGAGATTCTGTTTTCTAAAAGATCAACTTACTAATCAGAAGAGATAGCAGCTTCACCTAGTTCACAAATGCAAGACAGCACGAGGAGGTGTCTAGTGAAAGCTTCACTCTCACTTCAGCCCCGCACGCCATATCCCCCACCCCCAAATTGCCTGCTGTTCTTACATGTCCTACAGGAACTTCTCAATGAGTATGGACAAGCTCGTTCAGATATCACTTCTGTGCCCTGCTCCTCTTGTTTTTTCTTTTTATACAAAAGGTGACACCATGCCCAAACTGTTGTTTTATTTAATGTATCTTGGGGACTCTCTCTGCTTCTGTATATAGAGATGCTGCTGCTGCATTTTTCTTTTTAACAGGTGCACATCTGTGTCCCTGAGTTTAGCAGTTCTTTATTAATGGTGATTGGGGTTATTTCAGCCTTTTGGGCTCATTAGAAGCAGTGCCACAGTCTACAGGCCATACCACCCTGAACACACCCAATCTCGTCTAATCTCAGAAGCTAAGCAGGGTTGGGCCTGGTCAGTACTTGGATGGGAGAAGCAATGCCACAGTAAAACAACTTGTGGTTACCTTGTGTGACATACTTGCAGGTAAATCTGTAAGGTGGATTCTTAGATGTGGAATTACTGGGTCACAGGGAATATGCATTGGTAATTTTTATTACCAATTGTATTGGTATTAGGCGTAATAGAATTCTAAGAGGGTTATGCCTGTGTCTAAGAGGGTTCTCACAGCCTGTGTTTTCAAACATTCAACTTTTTACCAAACGTTTGGTGAGTGTGTGTCCTTACGTGTTGTGTGTTCAAGGGCCATGTGAGTTTCTGTTTCTGAATTGTCTGTTCGTGTCCTTTGTCTGTTTTTCTTTGGGGTACTTGGTCTTTTGCTTATTTATTTGTGAAAGCTCTTTATATATTAGAGAGCTTAGCCCATTTGCAACGAGTGACAAATATTTTTCCCTCATGTTGTCCCTTTGGCCTTCACTTTGATAGATTTTTTTTTTCCTTTTTTTTGGCTGCCATGTGGCATGTGGGATCTTAATTCCCTGACCAGGGTTCGAACCCGTGTGGCCTTCATTTCGAGAAACATTTTTTTAGCTTGTCTTTGGGGTGAGGATTCAGCTGATCCTCTGGAGCACCCTAAATCAGTGCTGTCCAAGAGAAGCTTCTGCCATGGTAGAAATGCAGTGTCCAGCAGGGTAGCCACTAGTCGCGTATGCCTGCTGAGCATGTGGACGTGGCTCATGAAGCTGAGAAACGGAATTTTGTATTTTACTTAATTAATTTAAATAGCCACCTAGGGCTAGTGGCTGCCCTTCTGGGCAGTGCATTTCTAGAGCGAAGACATGCTACTGTAATCTAAACTGTGTCATTGCAAAGCTTCCCAAGGTTGAAAATATACTTGCCCCACTATGGGGAACAGAATGGTCATCTCAGGCCCCCTGAGATATTACTCAGATGAAAACTGGACACAGGAAACATGTCCTGCCAGTAAAAGCCAGTTGGGATCAGAAGGGGCATAGGGTCTAGGCGTTGGGCTGAGTTTTAAGGAATGGGGGAGGAGTCAGTTGTGGAGATAGGAAGAAAAAGGTGGCTTCGGGAAAAGGGACCAGCCTATGAAAAAGCCTGGATGCAAGGCAGCCTGTCATCCCAGGGACCGCAGAGGCTTCTGCATGACTAAAAAATCAGGGCTAGGGGTCTTGGAAGAGGGGAAGCGGAGGCCTTGAAGCTGGCGAGCTCAGCCGGCGCCTGGGCTCCAGATGGAGGTCCCCACAGGGCTTGGCAAGCAGTGAATCAATTGGGGTTTGTCACAGGGTTGCTGAAAGATTCAGGGGGATGATAAACAGGAAGCTCTGGACTCAGCAGTACCTGGCACACACTTTGCAAGCCTGGAGCAGGAGCCGTGGGGAGCCGGCAGAATTTTAGTAGCAAGAGACCTACTCTAGTTTCCATTTTTGTAATGCCATGCTCTTTGGCATGGGGAAGAATCCCTTTACCAAGACCATAGGGGCTGGAGTGCCCCCGCTTTCCTCCTTTTCTTAGTACCTGCTGCTGCCCCTGGAGAGAAATCTGATGGGGTTGTTCTGAGACCAGACCCCAGATTCCTGACCTTAACCCTAGGGAAGCTACGAGTCAGAAACCCAGGAGAGGGAGGCTGCTCTGCTCGTGACTGTGCTCGCTGCTTTGCCAGGCCTGAGCCTGAGGAGCGGGGGTGTGATGGGGGGGCTGATGGGGCCACTCTGGTGAGTGGTTGCCACTGCGGCAGCCTGCTCGCTTCCTCCCCCAGCGGGCTCTCCCCAGCGCAGCTCCCTGCCATGGCTTCTTGTTTCAGGACAGACAGAACAGTTAAAAGACCACTGTCTTAAATGAACAGCTAGATCCCCTGCGCTTAGGTTCAGCAGCTGAGCGTGTGCCATGCTGGCCTCATGTGGCTGCATTTTATGCTGAAACTTGAACTTCTGTTCATACTTTGTGACACTTTCCTCCTTAATAGATGAGCAGGCATTGCCTAAGAATAAGGAGTTTCTTCTACAGAATCTTGGTGCCCTTATCACACCAGAGGTGATTATTTGTAACATTAATATTTACTAACGTCCTCCCCAGATCTGAGCCATAGTTAAATTTCCCCAGTTGTCCTCAAAATGTTGTTTTTCAGACTAGGATTTGATAAACCAAGGTACATGCTGTCTGTGTCCCGTTTTAATCTAGTTTAACCTTTGTATCTCTTCCCCTGCCACGACATAATTTTTTTTTTTTCTTTTTTTGACAAGCCAGGCTGGTTGTCTTATAGGATGCCCCGTACTCTGCATGTGTCATATTATTGTCTTTTGGCACTGTTCTCTGTTCTTCTGTGCCTGTATTTCCTGTAAACTGGAAATTAGGTCTGAATCAAGGTAGGCAAACTGTGGCCTGGCCTCCTATTTTTATAAATAAAATTTTATTGGAACACCACGCCTATTCACTTCCCAATTATCTGTGACTGCTCTTTGCTGTCCTGTGGCAGAACTGAGAAGTGACTGAGTTGTAACAGAGACTGCGTGACCTGCAAGGCCTAAAATATTTACTCTTCGGCTCTTTCCAGGAGAAGTTGGCAGACCCCTGGTCTTGGCAGGAATATTTAACAGGGCATCACATTAGTGTGATCTTTTTTAATGGAAATCTTACCGTGCAGTTTCTCTGTTTAGAACTCTGAGGCTGTTAGTCTCACTTGGAGTAAACTCCAAAGCTGATGCCCTGTTCTACAAAGACCTGCATGATCTGGCCTCAGAACACTTTCCAGGCACCAGTTCCCTCACTTTTGCCACAGTGGCCTCCATGCTGTTCCTTAAACATGCCAGGCACACTTCCTACCTCAGGACCTTTGCACTTCCTATTTCCTTTGCTTGGAATCCTCTTCCCCCAAATGTCATTATATTTCTGCTTTTAACTTTGTGGGGTCTCTGCTCAGATGGATGCCACATTCTTGGAGGGTCCTGCCTGCCTTCCATGACTGTTACCCTTAGCCTGCTTTATTTGTCTTCATAGTATCTGTCCTACCTGTTGTGACATTTTCTGTTTATTTGTGCCAGGAACATAACTAGGTGTTCAGTAAATGTTTGTGAAATGAATAAAAGAACAGTTATGACTAATGCTCTGTTGAGCCAGACCCTGTTCTAACATCTTCACATGTATTAATTCACTTATCCTCACAACATTTCTAGGCAGGAGTTCCTTACCTGCTAAACAGACATAATAATGGTGGGACCAGTGCCCAGAGAGGTACAGAATAAAAGAAGGAAGAAGATCTGAAAGGCTTTATGTTTTCCCTGCCAAGCAGGGCTGGGCCTGAATCAGCCAGGGCAGCCCATCTGAGAGTGTCTGAGCAGAGGGGGACCCCAGATGCCTTCAGCTGTGAACACCCCTCTGCATCAGAGGAGGACCCTGGCTGAGAGAGAGGGCCCCATCTGGCGTCAGACCAGCAGTCAGCTGTTCTTCCCGAGGCTGTGACGAGGACAGCCCTGTCACCTCCAGGCCACTGGCCTTCCCTCCAGGGTGCAATTCATTCTGCTTAGCCGGGTGGCCCAGGGCTGGGGCCCAAGATCTGGAGTCAGACCAGTTACTGTGCCGCTGTCCCGGTGGGGCTCAGTGATTGTGAGGAACTAGGAGGATGTGGAAGCGTCTTGGCTTGGGGGGCCCATAGAGTCACGCCACGTTTTCTCGCCTCCAAATCCTCTGCCACCCTCTCCTCTTGCCGTGGGACCAGCCTTGTGCTTCCTCTTGAGACTCTCAGCCCATACTCCACACAGCAGCTGCTGACTTAAAGCAGAAGTCAGGTCCTATCAGCCCTGACAAACCCTTCCAGGACTTCTGTGATGTGAAGGATCAAGACAACTCCTTCATGCCGTGGCCTCGCTCCTGCTCTCGTCCTTTCCATTCCTCTCTCTCTGTTAGCTCCAGCCAGGCTGGCACCTGCTGGGCCTTCCACAGACACCCCAGGCTCCCTCCTCAGGGCCTTTACCATGCTGGTCACTCTGCCTGGATTCTTTTCCCTCCTGACACTTCACAGGGCTGCCTCCTCTCCTCCATTTCACTTATTTCACAGCCAAGTGTCTGTTCTTGGCCCTGGGGAGGCCCCACGTTCCAGGGAAGTCCTCCAGGTCCTGACTATGTGCCACCTCCTTGGAGAGGCCTTCCCTGACCACCCTTTGAGCAGGGGCTTCCTCTCTGGCCCCTGCCTTGGAGCCTTGACACAGGTGTCTTGCATGTTAGGCCTGGAGCTCCAATGGGGCTGGTTCCCTGCTGCATCCCCAGCACCCAGAAGAAGGCTGGCACCCAGAAGCCACTCAGGAGGGACTGGCTGGGGACTCCTCACCACCCTTTGAGGTGTTCGCTCTGTCCTGAGCACTGGATGTTGGTGTCTCCTTCCTTCCTTGGACAGCCCTCGGAAAGTCAGGTGGCCCACCCATGATTGCCTCAGGAAGGGGCAGAGCCCGGATTCCCTCCAGGCCTTCCAGCTCCAGAGTCTGTCCTCTCAGCCATGGTGTCAGGCCCAGGGAACGCGAGGGGCAGATGGAGGTCCTAGAAGTGAGGCCGCCCAGGGTCCCACGGCCATTTGGCAGTGGGGTGAGATCAGGCCCAGCTCCCCTGCCTGCCGCCGCCCTGCAGAGCCTGGCTGGGTTTGTGTCCCTGGGTCTCTGCTTGCTGACTGCCACTGGGTAACTGTCAGCCCCTCTGTGCCTTGGTCTCCTTGTCTGTAAGAAGAGGTGAATAACAGTACCTCCTTCAGAGGTATGCAGGGAGGACTCAAAGGAGTTACTTCACGTAAAGCACTTCAGCAGCCCTGGGAGCAAGTGGAGGGCCGTGTGTTGTTTAGTGAGGGGGGTGCTCTCGGAAGGTGGCTGGAAACATGGCGGGGTCAGGGCTCCTGAGAGGCAGCTTGCCTTTGCCGTGCCCTTGGACTCTGTGCATGCAGGGTGGTGTCCCTGAGCCCGCCCGTGAGTGCCCCCAGCGCCATTCCCCTGGGCTGGAGGGCCTGGCGGAGCGCCGAGTGTGGGTCTCGGCACCACGGCCTCCTGACTGTGGAACCCCCACAGGAGACCCACTTCCGTGCACCTCAGTTTCCCATCGGGAGCACGGCTGCTCCCTCTGCAGCCCTCTTAAGGAGCATGGAATGAGGTGATGTGTCTGGAACCATTATTTTCCTCAGCGTTTCCCTGGGAGCTTTCCTTTGAGGGGTGGAAGGCCCATCAGCCCCAACCCGGGGAGGAAGCTCCCCTCTGCCCCAGACACCATGTTGCAAGCCCTTGAGGAGGTTCCTGGACAGAGGCCCTTGCCTTTTCTCTGAAATTCTGAGTGCCGCAACCATGCCACCTCAGTCTAGTTGGAACCAGATCCAAGGCGTGTCAGGCGGCGGAGAGTCACCCCCGACCAGGCTCTGTGTGCACCCCTGTGGGTTCCGGCTCCGGGTGGGATGGGCCCAGGCCCCTCCAATGTAATCTTTAGCCCCTTCCTTAAGGTGAGAACTTTCTCTGGGTGCAGGTTTTGTACATGGCAGCTCCCCAGCGTCTCAGTGCTGCCTGGGTGCTGAGGAGGGGGCGAGCTGGGGGCAGGGGCTCGCCCCAGTGCCGGGGCTGCTGTCTGAGCCCCAGCTCTCCTGTCCCCTGCTTCTGGTGCCCCTCCCACAGTGTGGAGGCTCCATCTCTTGTCCACTCAGGCTCCTGAGGATGGACTGTCTCTTCCTCCCTTATAGACAGACAATAGTACATGCACATCTTGGCCTACAAATTGCTTTTTTCATGTGGCAGTCCCTCACGATCTCTACATGTGCAGTATAAGCCTTTTTTTTTTTTTAAGTATATTCAGCCTATTTTAGGAGATGGGTGATTTTTTTTTTTCAATCCATGTCCATATACCCAAATTCAGCATTTTCAGATTTCTGAGAGGACAGTTCTGATCTGATAGAGCGTGTCGCAGGGTATGCTCCACTCCCCCCCCAGTTTTTGGAAACAGGAATATTAATATAGGGCCAGGGATTTGTCCCATTACTTGTTCCAAGGAGCGCTTGGGTGAAACCTGTTGAGAAATACCCGCCTGAGGTATTGGGTCGGGGAGGGGAGAGGCTCGCGCTGCTCGGTCTGGATGTGCACTGGGCTTAGGGCCACCCAGGGCTTTGGCTGCCTAGCTCAGCTGTTCCCCACATGTCTTCCGAGTACCTGCCGGGGGCTGGGTCACACCAGCCCCAAATCCCTGCCCTTGTGGGGCAGACACACATGGCGTCTGGGGCTCCCAGACTCTGCTCGGGCTTGGGAAGGGCCGCTGCGCCAGCCCCTGATAATCGTGCTCCTAGAACTCTTGCAACTGTCTTAGGAAGCGAGGTCTTCTTGAGTGAGTGAGGCCAGGAGAGAGGCAGAGCTTCTAGGTGTGAACTGGAATCCTGGGACTTGGGTGCTGCTTTTGCTCAGCAAGCTGTGGAACTCAGCCAGAGCTGGTCACATGGCTTTTACAGACATGATCAAAATCTGCAGGGGGCTCAACAAATGTTGGGCTGAACCCCTAAAATTGTGTAGTGGGTCCAAACTAGAGGGAGCAAACTAGCGGGTCCAAGCAATTTAGCATCATTTAGCCTCATACATTTTTCTTTTTGGTGTGTGGTCTTTTTTACTTGGGCTTCCCAGGTGGCTCAGTGGTAACAAATCTGCCTGCCAATGCAGGAGATGCAGGAGATGTGGGTTCATTCCCTGGATTGGGAAGATTCCCTGGAGAAGGAAATGGCAACCCACTCCAGTATTCTTGCCTGGAAAATCCCATGGACAGAGTAGTCCTGGTGGGCTACAGCCCATGGGATCACAAAGAGTCAGACATGAATGAGCACAGCAGACATTTTTTTACTTATTTCTCCTAGATGTATTTTCCCATCTCTACAGACCAGTCTGTTGCGAGTATCAAAAGAAAATTCTTTCCCAGCGAGTTTAAATCATGAGTGACAGAACTAGTTTATTGTTCTTAAACCTGTCTCCTTTTTGCCAGCGTCTTCCCCACCCCGTCCCAGTCCCAGCCCCAGCAGGATGGCCCGTGAGCCACCCATCCCCAGACAGGCACCTCCAGGGGGTTCTGTTGGTCAGCTCTTGCCTTGTAAGATTTCCACCTTCTTTGGTGAATGAACGCTTCCTTCTGTTCTTGGTTTTCTTTTACAAAACACTGGTCACTTGTACGCATGAGCTCATCATTCATTCCCAGGGCATCAGAGGAGCACTGTCTCCCTGGTTCAAGGCTTAGGAAGGCAGCTTATTTTTCAGAGCCTGTGAGGAAAGGCAGTCTCCCCTCTGGTCATGTAATTGCTCCTCTATTTCAAGTGGCCTTCAGGTCAGGCCCCGGCTGGATACACAGATAGTCTCTGTTCTTATTCTAGTCTTGCCGTCTCCAATCTGCCACAGCCAGAGGGGCCTGTAACATTTCCGCTCCCCTCGGTCAGGCAGATCTCCCCAGAATGCTGGAAGGTGTTGAGTCATTTGCTCATGGGGCTCAGCCCCTCCTGCCCTGAGGCCCAGGCGCCCTAGGACTTATCCCCGGACGCGTGCTCACACAGGGAGGAGTGGATGCGGGCCATCCAGATGGTTGCCAACAGCCTCAAGCAGCGGGGCCCGGGGGAGGACCCCATGGACTACAAGTGTGGCTCCCCCAGCGACTCTTCTGCGGCCGAGGAGATGGAGGTGGCAGTTAGCAAGGCACGGGCCAAGGTGGTAGGTGCTGAAACAGGGAGGGTGGGGCCTGCCGGTCTGTGAGCACCACTCTCCTCTCAGCCCTGCCCCCCTGGAATTCCGTACCAGGAGCGCAGGACCCCGGCTAGGACACCTCCTAACTGCCCTGTGGGTGTGGTGATTTCAGGCGGTAGATGGCGCGGTACTGCCCTGGGCCCACGGGATGCGGGGCAGCCTCATCCTGAGTGGTGGTGAAGACCCCTGTGCCCCCACCTCAGAGCCCTGGCCCAGCCCCCCAGGGCCCCGTGCCTGGGAAAGCTGATGGTGGGAGAGCCTCAGTCTGAAGGCCACTTCAGAACAAACAGTTGCTGCCTGGGGCCTCCCTGCTCCCGCCTGGGCATTTTGGCAGTAGTGTCCTTTGAATTTTCTCTTTTCTTTGTTAAAATTTCTTCCCACGGGCCACATGCCAAGCTCTGACTGCCCGACTCTCTCCCCATCCTGGGCAGACCATGAATGACTTCGACTATCTCAAACTCCTGGGCAAGGGCACCTTTGGCAAGGTCATCCTGGTGCGGGAGAAGGCCACCGGCCGCTACTACGCCATGAAAATCCTGCGGAAGGAGGTGATCATCGCCAAGGTAGGCCCTCCCCGGGCTACTGTGGGCCAGCTGCCTTGGGGCCCAGCCCGGAGCGTGCGTGTGGTCGGGAGCACGCACCAGGCGGGACGCCTCCTGCGTCTGCTGCTGTGTCCCCCCACCCCCAGAACCACTGCTTGGTCCTGTGGGGCCCCAGAGTAGGGGAGCCTGAGGCTCAGAGAGTGTGGCCCTGCCTGCTGAGTCCCCCACCCTCTGGACACCAGGGAGGAAGGAGGAGAAAGTCTAACGGGGGCCTCACCTAGCAGGGCCTGGGGTCCACTAAGGCGGGGGCCTTGGCTCAGGGTGTCTGAGGAAGAGGCTGGGCTGGAAATGGAATTCTGTTCCTTTTTTCTTACTTAAAGTTTTTAAACTAGGAAATTCTTAAAATATGTAAAAATTTTTAAAGAAAAATATAGTGAATTGCCTCGTCTAGTCACCTAGCTTCAACATTACCATTTGGCCAGTCTTGTTTCATTAGCTCAGCTCTGCCCTCGTCTCTTTTTGTTCTAGAGTACCTTAAAGCATGTTCTAGGTATCAGAGATTCCCAGCCATACATGCTTAGATGTATGGCTTAAAGACGGTGATGGTGGTACTGTGATCATGTCCAACAAAAATTAACAAGCCCTAGATTTCGTGGGTGCAGGGCAGGGCTTCTCAGCCTCAGCTGTGACACTTGAGACCAGACCACTCTTCCAGGGGGGCTGTGACGTGCCCTGTGTGATGTGCCCCTGCATCCCTGGCCCCTACCAGGGCAGCCCTCCACCCGAGTTGTGAGTCAGAAACATTCTTAGACTTGGTTGCTGATGTTACCACGGCATCCCTGGAGACAGACGTGCCCTGTGGAGGGAGAGCAGGTATCCGGGCACCACTGCTCTCTGGGTCCACACAGACACCAAATTCAAGCCCCTCTTAGAGTCTGGGGAGGGGGGCCTGTGACATCGGTGCTGGGCCCGCACCCCAAGTTTCTGATTCATGGGTCCAAGGTGGGGCCTGATAATTTGTGTTTTCCTAAATTCCCAGGTGACACCGATGCTGCCAGTGTAGGGACCACACACTGGGAACCATTGCTCACAGCCTAGAGTCCTGACTAGAGCCGGGTCCTTCAAGAATGTTTATAGGGTCGCCACCATTTACAGGAACACCACGGCCTGTGGCGTCAGCTCAGGGCTCTGTCTGCTACCCCACCTGCAGATGTCAGACTTGGCCTGTGGGTCCAGGTGGTGACAGCGGGATCCTCCCTTGTCAGAAGTCTCCATCAGCTTTTCACCTGGTGGTTTTGACAGCGAGTCACTGAGTGGTCTTGTCTGGGTCTGGTATTTCATTAGGGCATGTGAGTGATAATTCACGTTCTCTGTGTTGGTTAGGAACGGAGTTGGAGTTCACCAACCTGTTCCTTCCCCATCTTCTCAGGCTGGAGGTGGGGTGCCGGCATGGTGCTGCCCTCCAGCCCCTCACCCAGCCTCTCTTTGCAGGATGAAGTCGCCCACACGGTCACCGAGAGCCGGGTCCTGCAGAACACCAGGCACCCGTTCCTTACCGTGAGTAACACTCCGTCTCAGGCAGGGCGCACACGTGGGGCGTCCAGGCTGCCCTTAGGACAGAGCTCAGAGAAAGTCACGACCCCTGGCTCTGTGGAGCATGGACTGGTGTTGGCTTGGTTGTGAGGGTGCGGCTGCATGGGCTCCCCAGGTGGCCTGAACTGAGACACCAGGCAGCAGCTTCTTTACAGACAGTGGCTTCGTGTCAACCCCTCAGCCGTCTGATGATACTAGGTTATGAAATGGCTCCAGGAGAGCCTGGCTTCTCTCCATATGGGTTAGAGGTGCTTAGTCCAGCGGGTTGAGTTTTAGGACGTAATCCCAGAGGCAGATGTACCATCACTGTGCTGCCTGTCAACTTAGGCTGAGGAGACAGACACCTCTTTGGGCAACAGTCTCCATCGAGGCCAGCAGATGGCAGTTGAAGGAACTAGGTGGAAAATGGTTTAAGGGTCGTTTCTGTAGCTCACTTGCTGTTCAAATGTCCTACTGAACCAAAGCACTTGTTCAAATGAAACCTTACAAGGTTCTTCAGTGTAGAAAACAGGGAGTAGTAGAGTTTTCTTGAGTAGGGGGTCACCTCAGGGTCCTCTGAGGAACTCTGTCGGGCTCCTTAGAGTACAGTTTGAGAGCTACTTGTTTGTTGGAGAATCACTTGTCCAGGCTTTCTGGGAAGTTGGCTCCCAAGCCACTGCCAATGCCCAGCCAGCAAACCTGGCGTGTGTGTAAGTTTAACACTCCTCTGTCCATGGGATTCTCCAGGCAAGAATACTGGAATAGGCTGCCATTCCCTTCTCCAGGGGATCTTCCCCACCCAGGGACTGAACCTGGGTCTCCTACATTGCAGGCAGATTCTTTACCACTGAGCCACCAGGGAAGCCCCTAAGTTTAACACACTGGACTGTAAAATGGGAGGAAGAGAGACGTGAAATAGCCGTGGTTGCTCAGAACATAGTTTGTGCCCTGGATGTGTCTCTTGGAGGCTTATTTAGAGGCAGAGGACAGGATCGTTGAGCCCTGTAACCCCTTCCCTGCTGTCAGAGCCAGGAGCTCCCTCACTCCGCACAAAATGTGAAGATGCGATTTGAACCCTAGTCACGTTATTCCCACAACCCTGGCCGGGGCTGTGGGGAGAGAGCGGGGAGGGAATCAGCAGCGCCCATGTCTCCTGGGACCCAGCAGAGAGCCCACATCTTCCCACCTCCATGCCGCCACCTTCTTTCCCGCAGGCGCTGAAGTACGCCTTCCAGACACACGATCGCCTGTGCTTCGTGATGGAGTACGCCAACGGTGGCGAGGTCTGCCCCCAACCCCCGGCCTGCCCTTCTGGATGTCACCTTCCCGGGAATGGGGGGGGGGCAGAGGGAGACTTACTGGAGTGTTATCTTTTTACTTTCACTCCCTCCCCCGAGGCAGGTGGGGAGACAGGCTCAGAGACGTTAAGTGGGTCGTCCGAGTTCACACGTTTAGTGAGTTGGTGGGCGGGATACAGACTGAGGTTCAGAGGACTGTGGGGTGGTGGCCGACGGCACTGCAAGGACGTTTTTAAAGGCTGCAGAGAAAGGGTCTGTGGGTCAGGATCCCCCGTCCTCTACTTTCAGCAAGGTCTCCTGATGAGAGACGTCAGCACTCACCGTGCCCACCTGTCACCCACTCCTCGTCCCTCACACCCCTCTCTCTCCGCCTGGCGTGACTCGCTGGCTTCATCTTCCATGTGGTCTCGTCTCACAGCTTGTTTCCGCTTGCTCACGAGTCATGCTCCTCTCCCTCCTTGCTGTCACTCCCTCGTTCGCCTGCCCCCTCCTGCAACCACCCCCGCCAGCTCTCCACTTGGTGCCTGTTGTCTAGCCTTCCCTCTTTATCCCTTGCTCATTTTCTCTTTGTCGCTCACATGAGTTTCCTGTGCTCACCATCCCTTGCGCGGTCCTCCCTGTCCCTCACATGGTCCTCACCGTCCCTTGCAGTTCGTGGGGCAGGTGTCACCATGTCACCAGGCTGGGTGCCATCCTCCCCTCCTCTGGGCCAGGGGTCTCACCCTCGCTGCCTCCCTCTTCCGGCAGCTGTTCTTCCACCTGTCGCGGGAGCGTGTCTTCACAGAGGAGCGGGCCCGCTTTTATGGAGCAGAGATCGTCTCAGCCCTGGAGTACCTGCACTCGCGGGATGTGGTGTACCGCGACATCAAGGTGAGCAGGCAATGCCCGGGCCGCCCTCCCATCTGCTGAGCTTCCCCTCCATGGAGGGTCTGTCTTGTCCTTCTTGGAGCTGAGCCTCCCACCCAGGCTCAAGGTGGTGCTTGGACAGGTAGCCTGCGTGGGGCCCTTCCAGGATTCCTGGGAGCAACGGCAAGAGGCTGTTCAATTGACCCAGGCTCTTTAGAAGATGGCCTGGCAGAGTCCACCAGCATTTAGCACACATGTCTGCTGAGAGCCCGTCCTGCCCTGGGAGCATGCGCCAGAACAGGCTCTTGTGTGCGTCTCCACGTGGACGCTCCAGCGGGTCTGTGTACGCTAACCTCAGATGAAGCCTCCCGAGTGCCCACTGTGGGAGAGGGGACAGAAGACATTGTGGTGGAGCCACACCATCTGTGCCGCAGTTCAGGAGGACAGGCTCCGGTCTCGCGGGCTGAGGCTGAGGGGCCGCCAGAACAGCTGAGATGAGTCTGTGTCACTCACAGTGTATACGTAGGTGGGAAACACTGTGAAGAGAAGCACAGAAATGAAGTCCCTTTTCTGTTGGAGGAGGTGGTGGCTAATAATGCAGCGGGGCACCTAGGGCTGGTGGGGCTGTTTCTTGACTTGGTGGAGGTTACACAGGCCCACTGAAGTGCCCACTAGTGTCAAGATCAGGAAAAAATAGATAGTGTTCAGTGTTCCTCACGCCTGAAGTGTGACCACCACCACACACAATGGGGGAAGCCAGTCGGGCAGGACCTGGCTCCCATCTCCTCCTGCCTGTCTTCCCAGCTCCCTGGGGGTGGCAGGGGCTGGGGAGGTGCTCGGTCTGACTCCTCCCCCCGAGCCTCAGAGGGCCTGACTCCTTGTTGGGGGGCGGGTTGCTCTCTGACCCCCCCCCCTGGCCCTGCCACCCCCCACCCCAGGGAAGGGCAGGGGCATGTGGGGTTTCGGGGCAAGAAACCCTGAGATAGCTATGTCCCTGACACGCTGACTTTTCCTGCAGCTGGAAAACCTCATGCTGGACAAGGACGGCCACATCAAGATCACTGACTTCGGCCTGTGCAAGGAGGGCATCAGCGACGGGGCCACCATGAAGACCTTCTGTGGGACCCCTGAGTACCTGGCGCCCGAGGTGTCTGGGGCTGGAAGGCCAGGGGAGGCGGGGCCCCTCAGCCCAGACCCCTGAGGGCTGCAGTTCCTTCGGTGGCCCCTCATTGCCCCTCCCCGCTCAGGTGCTGGAGGACAACGACTACGGCCGGGCGGTGGACTGGTGGGGGCTGGGCGTGGTCATGTACGAGATGATGTGCGGCCGCCTGCCCTTCTACAACCAGGATCATGAGCGCCTCTTCGAGCTCATCCTCATGGAGGAGATCCGCTTCCCGCGCACGCTCAGCCCTGAGGCCAAGTCCCTGCTTGCTGGGCTGCTTAAGAAGGACCCTAAGCAGAGGTGAGGGCTGGCCCCTGCCTGCCCAGCCCAGCACCGCCACTTCCCTTGGCCTGCAGGGGCAGCATCCACGGGTGCACGCGTCCGGGGAGCGCTTGCTATGTGTTGATCGATTGGCCCCGCAACTGACACGTAGGGGCGGTCCCTTGGCCAAGCCTGCCCTCAGCTTCCGCCTGCCCTGCCTTCTTTCCTGGGGATGCTAAGGAACAGGGTGGCCGTGCCTGGCCTAGGGTGGCAGCCAGGATGTGAAGCAGCCATCTGCAGAGCGTACCCTCTCTGCTTGCATCCCCGTCCCTTGGGCCAGGTTGGAATCTCCAGGTTCTGACCCTGGGCAAAGGGACTCCCTCCCTGAGCCCCAGATCCCTCCGCTGTGAGGTGGTGGAGTGTCCCGGGATGTTAAAAGGTGGAGTCGTTAAAGGTTATCAGGGCCCATACCGAAAGCGCGTCTCTCAGGACCCGGCTGCCCCGGGAGGTGGGTGCTCATGGCCATCTCTGCCCAGGCTCGGCGGGGGGCCCAGCGATGCCAAGGAGGTTATGGAGCACAGGTTCTTCCTCACTATCAACTGGCAGGACGTGGTCCAGAAGAAGGTGAGCCCCACTGCCTGCCTGCTCCCCACAGGAGCCCAGCCTCTCCTGGGTGACCTTGGCCGAGGCCTCCGCTCCTCAGGGACCTGAGGCTGGACTCCTCTCCACAGCTCCTGCCACCCTTCAAGCCTCAGGTCACGTCTGAGGTCGACACAAGGTACTTTGATGACGAGTTCACCGCCCAGTCCATCACAGTCACGCCCCCGGACCGCTGTGAGTGTCTGAGGCCCCCACTCCCGTGGGCCTGGCTTGGAAGCGGGGCTCAGGGGTTCTGCTCTTGACCCAGTTCTCCGGGAGGAAGTTCACAGGGCCCCCTCCATGTCTGGGCAGTTTACCCTACATTTGAGCTCGCCAAGGCTTTCACTGTCGGCCCACCGGTGGACCCAGTGAGGGTCGCCAGGAAACAATGGCTGCAGCACTTAGAGGGGGAGTCTGGGCAGGAGACCCTGGAGGAGTGGTCAGTGCCCATCGTCGTCTCCCTCACTGCTCAGGGCTTTGGGGCTACATGGATGGTTCCAATGATTCTGTAGCTGTTTTGAGTTCTTACTTCCCCCGCCCAGTGCTGGGCCATGCTGGAAACACAGCAGTGACGAGACAGCCCTGGGCCCTGCCCTCAGGGAAGTCAGGGTCCAGGTGGGGTGACACCCCAGAGTGGTCGGGCCTGTGGTGTTAGGAGTACGGGTCTGGAGGAGCTCAGGGAAATGCCTGCCTTGGACTGTGAGTCAGGGAGGGCTTCCTGGAGAAGGAGACAGGGCAGCTGAGTTCTTGGCACAAGGAACGGCACACAGGACTCCCAGAAATGGGAGCATTGCAGAGGTCGGAACGAAGCAGGGAAGGGCAAGCAGCAGAATCTGGGGGCCACCAGGAGAAGTGAGGATGAGCCAGGGAGGGATTTGAGCAGAAGAGGAGACCACCTTGGCTTCGTGTGGAGGAAGGGTGGTTGAGGATGGGAGTGGTGCCCAGGGCAGGAGACTGGACCACAGAGGTCTGGGTGAGACCCTGGTGTGACCGAGTCAGAGAAGCTGGGGGTGCTTGGGAGGCGGGGTGAGCAGGCCGGGGCGCCAGCCTGGGGGTGGGGCTGTGCCTGAGAGGGAGGCAGGCCACTCAGCCTCAGTCCTCGTTCTGTCCCTGGGGGTTGCACTGTGGCCTGGCTGCAGCCCTGCCGGGGCTGGCCAGGGGGCCTGGGCCCGCTCCCGGCCAGCTCTCCCCCATCTCTGTCCACTGACCCCCGCAGATGACAGCCTGGGCTCGCTGGAGCTGGACCAGCGGACGCACTTCCCCCAGTTCTCGTATTCGGCCAGCATCCGAGAGTGAGCCACCGCCACGGGACACACGCAGGCTGCTGCCATCACCGCCGGGGGCTTTTTCTTTTCTTTTTCCAACTTTTTATTTTGCCTTTTTTGTTTGTGTCCCCATCCCTCACCTCCTTCCCCCCATTTCCAGTTTTTCCCTCAGCCCTCTGCCAAATTCACCTCAGCAGTCCTCGCGGCCCTGCCTCCAGGATCCCGTCCTGCCCTCACCTTTGTTATAGACCAGGACTCGGGAGCCTCTCCTCTGCCTGCCTAGGACCAGGCCTTTGGGCAGTGGGAGAGATTCCGGTTTTTAATTGACATAAAGCCCCCGTGAGGGGCGAAGCATGGAGCCATGGAGCCTGCGGGCAGCCCACCTCCGCGAAGCCGCTCCTGTCAGAGGCTGCCTTCCTGGCCCTGTCGTCAGGCTCCGAGTGGCCTGGCAGGGGGCAATCCAGCCCCCTCCTCCTGTGGGGGCAAAAAAGCAATAATGTCCAGGGACCGGGGGTGGAGGAGTAGCACGTACCTGTGAAAGCTGTGTGCAGGATGGGGGTCCAGGCTTCCTCGCGTGGATGGGGCCCGCTTTCCCCTCGGGGGGCCCGCTTTCCCCTCGGGGAACCCGGAGCGGGCACGGCCACCTGGCCCTGTCTTCCCCGCCCCCTCAGCTGCTCTCCTGACCCTGTGGATGAGGCAGGAGGAACACGAGGGGGGCAAGCCTCCCCACCCACCAGCCCCGTGCCTTACCAGGGCTTCCTCCCAGCCGGCCTTAGCTCCCGCTGGAGCCCGGGCCTGACCCCAGCCCCTTGCAAGGACGGGGGTTGGGGTCTCCCCCTTCTCCCTGCTTGGGGCGGAGGGGCACCAGCCTCGGCTGTTACACATCTCGCACCGAGACAGTATTGGGCCCACCCAGCGGACTCGGATTGAAGGGGGGGTGGAGGTGGGGGTCGGGCACATGCCGAGGGAGGGGCCCCCTCACTCTCTCCCCCTCTCCAGGCCCCACGTTCTGCAGCCTTAAGGTGAATGTGTCAGTGCTGTGGGCACTCCCGTCTGTGCCTCAGACTGTGTGTGTGGGCGCCCCTGTGCATCTGGGGTGCGGGTGCACGTGGGGTGGGTGTGTGTGCACGCGTGTGTCGGGGGTGTGTGTGTGTGTGTGTGTGGCGTGAGTGGACTCAGGCCCCGCCCCTGGCTCAAGCACTTCATCCCCAGGGGGAGGGGGCGCTGGCCTAGCAGGGGAGGCACGCCTGGGGTCCACTTGTTGCCCTGACCCCCCTGCCCCCCAACATCTCTGGGTGTTTGGACTTTAGTTTTTGTGGTTTTGCTCTCCCCACCCCACCTCCTGTAGGTAGTTCACAGAGAGACATTCTGGGGTGGGGCGGGGGTGGGTTTGGGTGGGTGGGGTTCTTCTTTCCTGTGTGTGTATGTCATTAATCTGACAATTCTTCCTCCTCCCCACTGGCCTGTCCCCATCTCCTCGTATTTGTACGGTACAAGCAATAAAGACACTCATTTCAGACTGGGGCCCACCACCCCCGCCTTTCGTTGCTTCCTGAGTCCAGCTCCTGGCACCGGCTGCCTCCTGCTCCCATTGCTGTGGTCACGGGGCCTGTTGAGCCACGAGGTGGGAAGTGGGCGGAGGAGGCACCTGGGGTGCTCAAGCTCAGATTGGGGGGTGGAGGTTACTTCGGGGAGCTGGTGACGAGTTTGTGGAAGGTACCTGGACTGAGGGGTACAGTGGACAGAGACCATTCTAGCCCCCCAGGAACTGCTTAGGCAAAAAGAGGCGGGGTGGAGAGGTGGGTGGAAGGGCTGGGCCCTGGGAGTCAATGTGGGAGGGAGTGGACTCATTTCCTAGACGGGGACACTTCCTGCACACGCCTTCTCATTTATGGCCCCCAATTCCGATTAAAAAAAAGTGAAGTCACTCAGTCATGTCCGACTGTTTGTGACCCCATGGACTGTAGCCCACCAGGTTCCTCCATCCATGGGATTTTCAAGGCAACAGTGCTGGAGTGGGTTGCTATTCTCCAGGGGATCTTCCCGACCCAGGGATCGAACCCGAGTCTCCCACGTTGTAGGCAGACACTTTTATTGCCTGAGCCACCGGGGAAGTCACTTGTCCAATACAAAGTCGCTAGAGGATCAGTGGGATGTGGTGGCTGTCAACCGGGGGCACCTCAGGTGGGTTCATAACCCTCGGGGCTCTGCGCCCTTCTGGCGCCTGGCCCTCTAATCCTGGAGCTCCTTGCAGCCACTGGGCCAGGGCTGCCCCTGCTGAGCCCTGGCACAGATGAATTTAATGTCAGATCTTGCCAGAAGGTGTTGGCCTTCACATGCCTGGAGTCTTTGAGGTCGTAAATGAGAGTAGAGGAAAAAATCAGATCCTAGAACAAAAACTCAAGAGATTCTGTTTTCTAATTTTATACGAATGTTATTGAGCTATAAAATGTGTTCTGGTGGCCATTTGAGAAACGGCAGAGAGGCTTATAAAGAGAAGCCTTCTAATAGCAACTACACTCTGATAATTTTTTTTTTTAATAAGGCCTTCTGGTGCAGGCCCTGGAGGTGACCAGTGCCCGTTTCTTGTCACATCACACTGTCACTCAGACCTCCGTGTGGGTCCGACCCGCATCTACCTCAGCCAGTTAGCGCTTGTCTCGTGTCCACGGACGGGCTCCCAGAGGCTGCTCAGCTGCCGCCCTCCGTTGAACGTATCCCCTTAGACGTAGTGGTGGTGCTGTGTCACTGGCAGAACTTTTTCCGAAGTGCTTTAGAGGGAAGAATTTTAATAAAGTTCCATCAATTATGAAAATTAACTTTTGAATAAGTTGATCTTTTGTTGTGTGCGTGTAGATAGTTTCACAAGTTTTGTGAAAGGAGGAGGAAAGTCAGAACCACCCCTGGTCCTGAGCACTTGAGCAGTCATTCTGGCCCTCACGTCACCCCTGTGCCTATGATGTCAAGCTGCTGGGTTCCATCCTGCTGCATCTTAGCCGCATCCTGCCGGCGTACCAACACCAGTAGAACATGCTGGGTCATTGGTAGAAACGAGATCCTTCCTCAGCTCCTGTTTTGCATCTGAGGGACTCCTTGTGAACACTGTTGTCACACCTCCAGCCGCTTCACAAACTTCTTTCTCCAGGTGGAAGTGCCTCACCCAACTCTGCTGCCGCCCCCCCCCACCCCACCGCCCATGGCAAACATTTACTTCGTTTCCAGTTTGTTTGCTGCTGTTAGCAATAATGTAATAAACCTCAGTGTAACAATCCATCTTACTGCGCTTGTGCTTTTTAAATTTTTGTGGCGTAGAGTTGCTGTATTTTAATACATGTCAGATAGCTTTTCCCCAAAGCGTAGCAATTCAAGTATTTTAAACTTAATTTTGAAGTAACTGCGGGTCCTTTGAAAACTTTTGAAACTTTCAAAATTAGTACCACAGTGATTCTAGGACTGGGGCAGGAAATGTTCAAGATGAATTCAGAGCATCTTGTGCTGGAACGTAAGGACCTGCTGAAACCAAAACCTCACTGATGGGGCAGGTGAAGGGGCATGGGAGCCAAGGGGGAAGATCCCCCAGTGGCCACAGCTGAAAGCAATTTGAGCAACAATAAATAGCATAATACTGGGTTACACCCAAGGGGTAAAATAAATGAGTCTGTGCTGATGGAAATGACATATGGTGGGAAGAGACATACCTGCACAGACTTCCAGATAATTTCTGTAAATACTCTGCCTCCAAGGAGGCGAAACACCACCACTACCACTACCACCATTCCTCTGATACAGGCTGCAAAGACACTCCCAAAGTACAGTGTGAAAAGTGGGGGAAGGTAGCTTTCCAGTGGAGAAAGTGAAGCTATGTCAGCCAGGTGATCAAGGTCAACATCACAGTAGTGGATCATGTGGGCAGCGTGCACCTTTGATAGGCGATTAGAATGTTACTTTACCCCTGGGCTCTTTCTCCCTAAAATGCATACTCTCGATCTAATAGAAGATAGCCACCAGAAAAATTCCAGCTGAGGGATGTTCTGCAAAAGACCTGACTACAGGTTCTTAGAACTGTCAAGTTTCCAAAAAAGGAAGCCTAAGAAACCAAAAGAAGCCAATGAGGTCCTAGGACAGAGAAGACACTAGGTAAAAATTCAGGAAGTCTGAAGAGTGCATGGGTTTGATAATACTGTGCCCATACTGGCTTTCTAAACTGTGACAAACAGGCCACACTAAAGTATTCATAGGGGAAAGTGGGTATAGGGTATATGGGAACTCTGTCCTCTTTACAACTTTCCATGAATCTCCAAAATTTTACTTTTTAAAAGTACAAAGAGTTTTCACCTGCTCTTCACGGAGGTTCGCCGTGACATCCTGCATTGACTTCGCCCCCTATATATTTATATATGTCTGTCCCCACACCAGCACATTCTCTTAACCACAGTCCAGTTACCAAAGTTCAGAAGTTAACATTGAGACAACGCTTTTCTCTTGGACCTTAATCAGATTTTCATTAATGATCACATTAGGGTCCCTGAATACAAAAGAAAGTAAGTCCTGGCCAATGACAGTCCAAACCTAACGTGCTGCATTTCTACTGTCTGGTTTGAAGCTCACAGGACAGTTATTTGGCAGTGTGCCTGTGCTTACTCGCTTCAGTTGTGGCTGACTCCGCGGCCCCCTGGACTGTGGCCCACCAGACTCCTGTCCAGGGGATTCCCCAGCAAGAATACTGGAGTGGGTGGCCATGCCCTCCTCCAGGGGATCTTCCTGGCCCAGGGATCGAAACTGTCCCCTGCCTTACAGGCAAATCCTTTACCCACTGAGCCACCTGGGAAGCCTGGTTATTTTGCAGAATGCTTCTTGATCAGGGTTTGTGGCCTGATGTTTCTTTGTGGTTACATGTAAGCTATTTTTGAAAGAACTTCCTTGAAATGAGGTGCCCTTCTTGGTATATCCTATCAGGAGGTATATAGGCAATCTGTTCTGTTTCTGGTGATGACTAATTCCTCAGTTAAGGTGTCTGTCAGATTTCGCCTC